GAAGGGAGCAGAAGGCTGAACACAAGGTACCATCTGGGAGGTGAAATCCTACAAGAGTCAAATAGAGAGAAAGATCTGCGGGTTGATATCACACCGAACCTGTCCCCAGAGGCCCACATCAGAAAGGTTGTCATCAGCGGCATATGCTAGGTCGGGCAACATAAAATATGTCTTTAGAAACTTGTGTAAGGAATCGTTCAGGACTCTGTATACCACTTGCGTAAGACCAATCCTGGAATATGCAGCTCCTGCCTTGAGTCCATACCTAGTTAAACACCAGACAAAGTTAGAGAAGATTCAGCGATATGCCACCAGGCTCGTCCCGGAACTGAGAGGAATGAGTTACGAGGAAAAGCTAAGAGGGCTGAGCCTCACGTCCCTGGAAAACAGAAGAGTAAGGGGAGACATGATAACCACCTACAAAATTCTCAGGGGAATTGACAGTGTAGACAAAGACAAACTCTTCAGCACGGGTGGGACACGAACAAGGGGACACAGGTGGAAACTTAGTACCCAAATGAGCCACAGGGACATTAGAAAGAATTTTTTCAGTGTCAGAGTAGTTAAGAGATGGAATGCACTAGGAAGTGATGTGGTGGAGGCTGACTCCATACACAGTTTCAAATGTAGATATGATAGAGCCCAATAGGCTCAGGAACCTGTACACCAGTTGATTGACAGTTGAGAGTCGGGACCAAAGAGCCAGAGCTCAACCCCCGCAAGCACAACTAGGTGAGTACACACACACACACACACACACATACACTCACACTCACACTCACACACACACACACTCACACACACACACACACACACACACACACACACACACACACACACACACACACACACACACACACACACACACACGGCATGTATAATATGGCTTTATGTATTTTACTTTATTTCAATTCTCCACTGTTGATATGTATCACATGTATGCATTTACTGCTGTGTGAATAAATTATCATCATCATTTTAGCATTTTTATATTTTGTTAGTCAAATGAGGATGTTAGACCGCATTGTGTACTAATGCTGTGGTCTTGTTCCATACACCCCTGACTACGCCAGCCCTTGGCCAGAGATGGTTTGGATAAACTGACTGATTATGATGTACCTGTATGTCTGTGTTACCTGTGTGTCTGTGTTACCTGTGTGTCTGTGTTACCTGTGTGTCTGTGTTACCTGTGTGTCTGTGTTACCTGTGTGTCTGTGTTACCTGTGTGTCTGTGTTACCTGTGTGTCTGTGTTACCTGTGTGTCTGTGTTACCTGTGTGTCTGTGTTACCTGTGTGTCTGTGTTACCTGTGTGTCTGTGGTACCTGTGTGTGTGTGTGTGTGTGTGTGTGTGTCTGTGGTACCTGTGTGTGTGTGTGTGTGTGTGTGTGTTACCTGTGTATTTTTTACACTTCTACAGGAAGAGAAACTCTAACATATGTTTTTGTCCTTGCAGGTATGTAGTGGGGGCGGACCTGTGTTACTACCCACCTCTATAACACCCTGAATACGATCACCACCGTCCTCCCTAGATAGGGATGCGTAAGTACCTGGGTACTCGCCAGCGTATGTGCGCGCGCGAGCTCAAGAGAGTGAGTAACAGGACAGAAGGACGGTCGATTAAAATGAACTCTGAATTGGATTAAAAAAAATCCTCTTTGGGTAGAGAAACCTTTGCGCAGATTAACATGCCTGGAATATACCTCGAGAAGGTTTTGAGAGTTTTTCTCCTTCTTCCGAGCTTGTTCCGGTAACTTGAGCGCATATTTATAGGATAGGAATACCCTAAGCTACTCTATCCTTTTGAAATGTATCCATTTGACTTAAACTTGAGCAGTTCATATGATGAACTGCTTGTGAAACAAGGCTGTGCTGTGCTGTGCTGTGCTGTGCTGTGCTGTGCTGTGTCAACGGCTCATGCTTAACTATTGTCAAGCTGGACTACCCCTGGCAGGGAGGTGTGTCATACCATCACCACCAGGATGGGCCTCCACGTCTGGGATGCTCCCGGACGCAGGTTCGAATCCTCGTCACGGCCCTTGTGGATTTGTTCTTGCACAACTTTTGTCGGATGATTTATTATTATTAACATCTTTATTGACAAAATTATTACAATTTTGCCTAATCTGAGGATTTTGATAGTCTTATTAAATTGAGGTTAATGCTAGTATTCACAGTCACGCAGGACAGAGGGTCATACATAAGACAATAGGTCTAAACTGTAGGCTGAAGCACATACATATCATGGTTACAATCAATGTTTTAATGTATGGATATGTGAAAACAACTTTCTATTGTGCACTGCCACACAAGGGCAGGGATGGGTTCATAAGTGATACAGCTTGTCGGATGATATTCCCCTGACTCCCTAAAGTAAATGATCTAACTACTGATATAACAGCAAACTTGGCTGTCTATAGTGACAGTAGTCATATCCAGTGGCCTCTAGAACCGAGGTCTTCTTGGTTGTTTCTTATAGATTCAGCTACTCTGAACAAGTTCCAAGTAGCACGGGCTATGGTGAGCCCGTAGTGGACTTACCTGGCACAGGAGCGGTGCTCGTCTTGTTTTTGTTGATGGCTGATAAAGATTAAGCCACCCAAGAGGTGGCACGGGCATGAATAACCCGTAACCCGTTCTCGGTGTTGCAATGGAGTGCACGTGTTGTGTCAGTGTTGCCAAGATGGCTCACTATCACTACCAGTACTCACCTGTTTGTGCTTGCGGGGGTTGAGCTTTGGCTCTTTGGTCCCGCCTCTCAACTGTCAATCAACTGGTGTACAGGTTCCTGAGCCTATTGGGCTCTATCATATCTACATTTGAAACTGTGTATGGAGTCAGTCTCCACCACATCACTGCCTACTGCATTCCATTTACTAACTACTCTGACACTGAAAAAGTTCCTTCTAACGTCTCTGTGGCTCATGTGGGTACTCAGCTTCCACCTGTGTCCCCTTGTTCGCGTCCCACCAGTGTTGAATAGTTTAGTTTAGTAGGAATGGTGCTGCTGCTGCTATCATTTTACCTGTCGGATGAAAATATTCCACTGGGTAATACTAAAAATTGCCAAGTGGAATATTATTATTTATATGTTTAGTATTCCACATTACCTCTCGGTAATACTTAAAATATGTGTAATGCAGGTAGCACTTACATGGTTGTAAATTATTGTTGGCCTATCCTTTTAATTCTGGTATCTTGCCACACAGGAATTATATTATAAACAATAACAAGATGGATTATTTAATTCTTTATTGTTGTGAATTTATCTATTTAATAATGCATACTTTATCTGTAAGCAACTGCAATATATCAAATATTTATTTTGCTAAATAAGTTAACTTAGTTACAATTAAGTGGCAAGTGATTTACATACTTACTGAAGTGGACTGGTAAGCCCATAGTAATCACCACACCTGCATTATAATGGGGTTTGTTGACCAGACCACACACTAGAAATTGAAGGGACGACGACGTTCCCACACACTAGAAATTGAAGGGACGACGACGTTCCCACACACTAGAAATTGAAGGGACGACGTATAATGGGGTTTGTGGCGCAATGAACTTACCTTACCTTGAGGTTACCTTGAGGTGCTTCCGGGGCTTAGCGTCCCCGCGGCCCGGTCGTCGACCAGGCCTCCTGGTTGCTGGACTGATCAACCAGGCTGTTGGACGCGGCTGCTCGCAGCCTGACGTATGAGTCACAGCCTGGTTGATCACGTATCCTTTGGAGGATACTTGGATACAAATCTTCTATAACACCACCAACCTCCCTTATTTTGTAATGTAATATATGTAGCCATCAATCTTAATTTGTTAAGACTTAACCCTCCTGTTAGGCCTGAGCTGGTAGTTTTTTTTTTTGTATTATTATTTTCTACCACAGACGTGGCCAGACATTTACAATGCTAACCAGCATATATACATTTTCTCC